GATACAGATGAAGAAGAAGAAGATCTGAAGAATTTTGTGGCTTGGACAACTGTCAATTCTAGTTCAGATATAGATTCTGCGTCAGTCTCTGAATTAGTGTCTGCATCAGTGTCTGCAACAGGGTCTGCATCAGCATCTGCAACAGGGTCTGCATCAACATCTGCAACAGGGTCTGCATCAGCATCTGCAACAGGACCTGTAATTAAAAGTGAAAACGATGAATGTGATAGTGATGCAGAGAGTGTTGATGATGAAGAATTTGCTGAGAATTATAGAGCCTTATATGAGCATTGGCTTAAAATGGTTGAAGAGAATTCAGTGTTAACTAAGGAGAAACTCAAGTTAGAGGCTAAAGTCATTGAAGTACAGAAATATGCTGCAGAAAAAGAAGAAGAAGCATCACAAGCCAAAGTACAACTTGAAGAAACTCAAAAGAATTTGAGGATGCTTAATAATGGCACAAAGAAGTTGGATCATATTCTGAATATTGGCAAGATTGATAAGTGTGGCCTTGGATTTGAAGGAAAACTTTCAAAATCAGATCCAGTGTTTGTTTATGGTGGAAAAATCACGTCTGGATCAGGAAGTGTGTCAGAAACTGCAACTATGGCAGAGACTGCATCCGGTACAAGAACTACTACGAGAACTGGTACAGAGTCTGATACAGGAAAAGTTAAAGAACTGCAGAGTGCACCTCAACGAGTTTTTCGACCTGTTTGCCATCATTGTGGTATTGTTGGGCATATTAGGCCAAGGTGTTTCAGATTGTTGAGGGAGAGAAATCGAATGGAGAATGCTTATGATAAGAGATTTCATGGTCCTACATGTTATCATTGTGGAGTTCAAGGGCATATTAAGAGGAATTGTTTCAGATTCATTCGAGAATCCAGTCATGAAGGCTTAAGGCGCAGGAAGATTTGGGTTAGGAAAGATGATTTCTATGGAGGTGGTGTACTAGGCTATCAACCTCGTATTGCAAAGCGGGGAGAATTTTCTAAGTAGTTTTGACCATGTTGTGACTCATTCAGGGGGAGAATGATGATGTGTTTCGTGATGTTGTTTTGGAGTTAGAACTGTTGAGTTCACAAACATAGTCAAAAAGGGGGAGATTGAAGATGTAGCTGCAGTCTGATTAAGTTGTTGAATGAGTCAAGAAGTAATACAAGAGTTTGTCTGATGGAGTTGCTGAATGACTCAAGAAGTAAGTCAAGATGCGACTGTTTTTGTGTG